TTAGAGATAGGTTGATCATATTTAAGATCGAAGAATTAATTAATGGCAGGACTTCTTTGAGCAGTTTTGTAGGAATGGGGTCTAAAAGACACGTTGATATATACAATATTAAAGACACCAAATTTGGACCCATCTGTTCCAGTCACAGCCAATATCAAAATCACCATTTGTGTCAAAGATGTGAGAAAAAACAGTTGCAGAACAATTGAACGACTTTATGGAGAAAAAGTGTTTTGGACATTTTCCAGTCTGGTTTCCACAAACTGCTGTGAAACTGTGTAGTGACATGTTGATGGCAGCAGACTCTGGTACTCCGTACTGGTTATACTGGACCTCTCCTCTGCCTTTGATGCTGTTGATCACAGTATGATGGTAAACAGGTTCAAAGACTTGTTGGGATTACTGGTGCTGTTTAGCTCCCATTCTCTTTTTCCTTATATACTCCCTCTACTCCAAGTTATCAGACAGTAGTATTCCTTATCATCTCCATGCTGATGACATTCAGTTATTCTGTTCTTTCAAAGCTTCTGACTTTTAGAAATGGTCTTCTTTAAATAATTGTGTCAGAAATCAAACAATGGTTAAATGACAACATCGTCCAGTTCAAACAGAAATATTGCTCGCCATCACATGATCTGTTCTTTAGGCTCCTCCGTCACAAATGTGGGCGTTGTATCTGAGAGCTGAGTCTGTGTGAGAGTCACGGTTCAAACCTCTGTAACCTGTGCTGGTGTCAGAGGCTGAGGTGATTCTTCATGCTTTGACTTCTTCTGTAACGTCTTTTTACTGGTTTCAACCAGTCAGCGTTGGATCGCCTTCAGACTGCACACGACGCTGCGGCACTAACAGGAGGTCACATGTTGCTCCAGATTTGGCTTCTCCTCGTCGGTCGTTGGTAAATTTGAGGTTTCATGTAAAATGTTAGTTTGAGCTTTTCGAGCTCTGCGCGGTGAAGCTCCCCAGCTGATCTCTGACCTGCTGAGGCCTCCTGCTTCTTCCCGAGCACTCGGGTCCTCAGGTCAGAGGTCGCTGTCGGTCCCTCGTACTGGGTTCAAACCCCGCGTGGGTCGTCAGGCACGAGGCTGTCGTCTTTACGCCGTGCACACTCCACTGACTCGTTTACAAAGCAGCTGAAGAAATACAAACAAGCTTTTAATGAATTTCCTCATGTTTTATGTTATTTAGTTACATTTGTGGTTATGACAGTGCTGGCTACATACATTTGACTTACTTTGACCTCCTAGATCAAACGAGAATATCCTCCCTGCTGCCGCTTTCTGTGTGAATGTGTGTGTGAATGGGTGGATGACTGGATATGTAAAGCACTTTGGGGTCCTTAGGGACTAGTAAAGCGCTGTATAAATACAGGCCATTTACCATTTAACCCACCCGCTTCCATCAGAGGGGCGTGACCTCTAACACCGCGTCGTAAAGATCGATCAGAGTGATTATGGATCGTCTTGTCAAATGAGTTTATTGATGAAACAAAAAAAGGTAAGTAACACATCAACGCTCTGTCTACCATCATTTACAATTGTACTTATGGAGGCGGAGTTTCATACAGACTCTAACCATCTACAGTCACAACCAATCATGAGCTCTCTGCCCAGGTTCAGGACTCCGGTCTGGGTCGGATCTTCATCTCCGTGAAGCGAAGCGAGTACTGCCAACCAGTCCAGCTGGACCACTCCACACCGTCAGCGTAGGAGGCGTGGCCTCCTCTCAGGTACTGCCCATTCAAGTTGGAGGTGTGGCAGTTCCGGTACCACCACGCCCCCTGGTAGTACGCCGCACAGTTGTTCTCTGATTGGTCCTGGTCGCGGTCTTTGGTGGTGAACCGCATCCCCGAGTGCTTGAGGAGGGAGTCACCTGCAGAGAAATACCCGGCTGTGTACTGTGCAGTACTGTGTGGTAATCTGTGGTACTGTGTGTTACCGCGTGGTACCTGCAGTCCCGGAGTACCCGTCCACAGTCAGCGGGTATCCGTCCTCCTCGGGGTTCACGGAGTCTCGACCAACGGAGAATTCAGAGTACTGAGCGAACGCTGTGGCGTTATCGAAGTCTGCCATGTCGATACGCAGCTCGAAACCACCTGACCTGGTGAGCGAGTAGATCCTCTGCAGACCTGAGAGAGACAGCCAGGTGTCACTGTGCTGCTTTCTAAACTGTGTGCTGGACACTGTCTTTGTGAGGACCAGTCTCACCGCTTTACCACGGGACCCATCAACATTTTACCTGAAGTTCTACTCGGTTACATGACAAAACACAAAAACACCTTTGAACACGTTACTCTCACCTGAAATTAGAAAAATAAAGAATAATAACAAAACTTTCCCACCTGACTGTGGGAACAACCAAGGTTAAAGATTTACTGTGAAAAGTAGAAGATTAAAGGTGTCATTTCATGAAGCTGCTGCTGATGTTGCCCAGCTGCGATCAGTTTTATTAGAAACCAGCCCAACCGTCATCACTCAAACTGATGACAGCAGGTCCTGAAGTTTTGCACAGCTCCTATCACCACGTTTGTTTTTGCCCCGGGCTGGTCAGACGTGGTTGGGTTAAACCCTTCTTTAATTATTTGAATGTGAAATGACCCGACAAACAACTCAGGAAATATACATAAATACAAAGAATAAAGAGTTAAACATAAAGAACACCATGCTGGGCTGAAGCTTTAATACATCCAGTTTGAGGTACTTTATTGAAGTACCGCTAAGTTTTGTATCGAGTATTTCTGTGGTTAGTGTTTTTTATTTAAATATTTTTCTTTCTCTCCTAAATCATCCATTTAAAAACGTTAGTTCTCGTTTTCTCGATTTAAAACATTAATCCAGCTTTCTGAAGTTCTTCTTGGACATTGGTTTATTCAGTTCCACTCCAGTCCTTGTACCTGACCATATTTACAGGAATGTTTTCTTTGTTAAGCATCTAAAAAGTATTTTAGGATGATTCTCAAAGCTGTGAGCTGACAGCTTGAAATATCTCAGCATGGTGTGCAACGTGTGCTCAAAAAAACCTGAGGAAACTGGATAACAGTGTCCCGTTGTTTCGGCTAAGAAGGATAAAGTTCAGGTTCCTGTGTGTGCACTCAGTGAGTAATGGCCCCCACAAACACAGGAAAACCAACGTGTGTGTATCAGACCAAGCCAGTGCTCTCCAGTCGTTGTCCCAAATCCGTCCCTGTAAGCCTCCCATCCTCTGAAGAAGTTCACCGAGCCGTCCTCCCTCCTCTGAATCACCTGTACGCACACACACACAGGTGTGAAGCCTCTGACAGGTACATTATCAGTCTTAATTAAAGAAACAGTCGTGCTGATAAAATTAATCGGTGTGATTGATGAAGTGTGATCAATGTTCCCTCTAATTTTTCACGTGTCTGAGCGAACACACAAACTCCCTGAGCATCCCTTGGACCACTGTGAGCAACAGCAGACGTGTGCAGTGTGGTCACGCCAGCATCCAAGTCACATGGTTTATTAAAGTAATCAAATTACAGCATTTATGTTAGACTACTTTAAATTAACGGCTTCAGCCCACTTACAATGAAAACTTAAAACAATCTTGTTCATGACCTGCAGCATGTTAACACTATTGGAAGGAAAAATAACTTGAACTCCAAGTTTGAAAACAAAACGTTATTTATTTTTCATAAAGCTCTGACTTGTATTCTGAGTCTGTGGTCTGTTAGAGAGTCGTTAACTCTGTCTGCAACATACAGTAAACAATGACCAATGTTGGGCAGTTAATTATATAGTTACTTCTTCAAAAAAGTAACTGAGTTATGCAAACAACAAAGTGTTTTGCAGCTGTTTACCTAAAAATGCAACCAAGGTGTTTTTAAATAAACCTTTCAAACTATTTACAGAACAATCAGCTGTTCAGTATCAAATCTGATGCCACACAAATTATTTGTGCCGCTCCGCCGTCACTCCTAAAACTTCCCCCCGTTTCTTAACAACCAGATGCCACGTTGCCATATCATTTTTTGATTGGTCGACATGGTACTTTTTTTGGACGAATAGGAAAGGGAGAGGGGGTGGAGTTTGTTTTTGCTCACAGGCTTTCGAGCGTTTTCCTTATAAAACGCCGTTTTTACCGTTTCTTCCTGCAGTAAATATAAACAACGACAGTATTCAGGAAGAAAAACAAACATTGCAGATATTTTATCATAACTCTGGTTTTACGTGGCCGATCAACACAGTTTAAAAACTGGTATAAAGTCCACACTTTGTCC